ATGCATTTTCAGTTTATTTTCCAAATGAGCCCACAGATGTTCAATTATGTTAATGTCGGGAGATTGAGAAGGTGTTTCAAGCACTTAGGATAGTTATACATCAACCATAGACGGGCATCAAGTGCTTTATGCTTGGGATCGTTGTCTTGGTAGTACTGGAAATTGTCTTTAATTCCCAACTTTTTCACACTTTGCACTAAATTTTCTTTTAAAATGGTCAGATACGGCTTGTGGTCCATATTACCATTTATGAAACACAAATTTCCAGTACCAGCTGCGGACATTCAACCCCATACCGTTACTGAGCCGCCCCCGTGTTTAACAGTCGGACGTAAAATTTTTTCTAGCAACTGTTCATTTGGTTTCCTCCAAACATACGACCGTCCATCTGACTTAAATATGTTAAATTTGCTTTCATCTGCAAATAAAACTTGTTTCCATAATTGAAAGTCCTTATCCCCATGACCTTTTGCAAATTGTATCCTTTTGTTTTGGTTAACCTCCAATTTCAGTGCTACTCTTCCATTATTTTTTGGTTTCTTCAGTGCTACTCTTCCATTATAATTATTTTTTCCTAAGTCTATTCGGACTCTCCGGATTACAATTTATATTGAGATGCTACAAAACTTCTGTTGAGATCTTGGGAGCGCTTACGTTTGTATTTTTTTTTTTTGATTTGCTGCACTATCCACCGCTCATCTGCAGCCGAAAACAACTTCGGTCTCCCAGACTTATATTTGTTTTCCACGGAGTTTGTTTGTTTGAATCGTTTAATCACCTCATGCAAAATAGCGGAATTAAAGTTCTTAAATTACGCGCAACCGATTTCACGGCAGAAATGAGACTGAATTTAATAATTGAAATATTAAATTAATATAACTTGAATTTAGTTGCAGAAGGCAACAACAACTTGCCTTCTCCTATTGTTCTAGACGCTGACATCAGCACTTGGCATTTTACCGGATGCGCGTGCAGTTGCTTGGTATTAATAATTTAGCTGTTGCGCTAATTCTTTGAATTAGTGCAACTTCGATTGCAAAACAGGAAATGTGAAATAATATTAGTCAGCAATTAAAATTTCACCTGTGGGAATTTTTATTGCGGAGTAAGAATGTAAATATGTAATTTGTTATATTGCAGCGAAAACAAAAGGTAAGCAAGTTATTGTGGCGATTGCCGAAAATATGTAAGTATGTAATGTTATAGCTAAGGCAAAATGAATTAAGTGTTAACT